AAAGAACTTGTACCTACTAGAAATATATACTAAAGTGTTCAATGTTTATAGATAAAATATGTCATGTCAGATTTGCTTCAAAATAATTGTGGAGGATATTTGACTTTGAGCTGATAATTTTTGAGCTGGGTGAGAGGTACTTACAGGTTTCATTATATTATTCTATTTTTATTTTGTATATGTTTGAAATTTTCCATAATAAAATTTTTAAATGGAAAAAAAACTATTAAAAGGACATAAGAGTAGATCTGAATGAATGGAGAGATATTTATGTTCATGGATGAAACCATTAAATATAGTAAAGATATCAATTCTACCCAGATTAATTTACAAATTAAATAAAACTGTGGTAGTATTAAATATGACTACAAGTTCTTTCACGTTCTTCATGTCAAAAGCAGGAATCTAATTTCCTTCCCCTTGAACAGGTGTTAGCTTTAATAACTCACTTCTAATCAACAGAATGCGGCAGAAATGAAGTTGCCTAACTTCCAAGGCTAAGCCATAAAAAGGATATAGCTTCCACCAGGCTCTCTTTCTCAGGATGCTCACCTTTGTAACCCAGCACCATGTTGGGAAAAAGCCACATGTAAAGGCCATATGTACATGTTCCAGCCTATAACCTAGCTAAGCTCACAGCCAACAACCAGCATCAACTGTCACACTTGTGAATGAACAGCTAACAGATTATTCTAGCCCCCCACCTTTATGGTGCCCAGATGATGCACAGTGAACAGAGACTAGCCGTACCCACCAACTGCTGCCCAAACTGCAGTTCTGTGAGCAAATTAAATGTTGTTGTTGCCTTAAACCACTAAATTTGGGGATGGTTTTTTATGTGACAATATATAACCAAAATAGAAACCACAATCAAAATTCCTGCTCAATCTTTTGAGAAATTTAACATATTCATTCTAAAATGTATAAAGAAAATAAACGTTCAGAAAGAGCTGTGCCAACTTTGGAAAAGAAGGGCCAAGAGGGAGAATTCATCCTAGCAGATATAAAAACATACTACAAAACTGTAACACTACCATTAAAAAAAAAAATCTAGTACTGTTGTAGGATGAGAAAAATAGACAAAGGAAAGAGAACATACAGCGAAACACCCATGCAGTTTGGGAACAAAATATATGACATTCTAGAGTCTGACTGTCTGAGTTCAAATTCTGGCTACGATACAATGCAAATTACTTAACCTCTCTGACTCTTGTTTGGTCCTGTACAAAATGGGGTAACAATAACACCCAACTCACAGGGTTGTTATGATGATTAAATAAGTTCATAAAAGTGCTTAGAATTGCCTGTCACATACTAAGTTAAGTGTATGTAAGCCAGTTGTGGTAATTTAAAAAGTAATAAAGAAAATAATAATAAAACACGTTAAAAAGCAGGCTCCAGGGGGCCGGCCCCATGGTGTAGCAGTTAAGTGCACACGCTCCGCTGCTGGCAGCCCAGGTTCCGATCCCGGGCGCGCACCTTGTCAAGCCATGCTGTGGCAGCATCCCACATACAAAATAGAGGAATACTGGCACAGATGTTAGCTCAGGGACAATCTTCCTCATGAAAAAAAAAAAAAAAAAAAAAAAGACTTTGGATAAGTGTATCCAAAGTCACATAACTGGTTTGGAGGAGTCAGAATCAGATTCTTACAGTCAAGCTTCAGATTCAAAACTTTCAACCACAACAATAAATTACCTCAACAATAAATGAAAACTCTTTCATTTATTGTTGAACACAATACCTAGGCCAAATAAAGCACTCACAAAGTGTTAGCTATTATTACTATTACCATTGTTGTTATTAGGATTAACTTAAAATATTCTTTATTGTAACACTCAAATACTCAATACTATGACTGGCAAATAAATCTACATAATTGTATCTATGCTCCTAGTTTATGCTAAGAATACTGTAAAGGTGATATCATAAACAATTTGAGGGGGCCGGCCCGGTGGCGCAAGCGGTTAAGTGCGCGCGCTCTGCTGCGGCGGCCCGGGGTTCCCTGGTTCGGATCCCGGGCGCGCACCGACGCACTGCTTGGCAAGTCATGCTGTGGCGGCGTCCCATATAAAGTGGAGGAAGGTGGGCACAGATGTTAGCCCAGGGCCGTCTTCCTCAGCAAAAAAAGAGGAGGATTGGCGGATGTTAGCACAGGGCTGATCTCCTCACAAAAAAAAAAAAAAAAAAAAAAAACAATTTGAAATATATAAAGTATGTTACTCTATCTTCCCACAAATCACTTACAATGGTCCAAAGGTTATATTCATTTATTTTTCCATAGATAAGATTCATAATCTTAATTCATATTGAAAAGAAAAATTTATATGCTAAATAACACCTTGAAAGATCTTCAGGAGTTCAAGTTTCAAGATTATAAGACAAAAATTAATTCCAAAAAAGAGTATTATTCTAAGTTTAACCATACAGAGAGAAAGCTTCAAATCTCCATACTAACCAGAGGAGACTTCAAACTGAAAATTTCTTTTAAAGTTATTTCTAAAAATTAAGTGGTGAAATACCTGTGTAGAAATCATTTATTGAAAGCATGTACTGAGCATATCTTCCCACTTCTTCTAATTCCATTGTTATGCCCCCAATGTTTTCTATATTTTATACACATATAACTTATTTTAAATTTCTGAACATATGTACCTAGTACTCCCCTCTCCCAGAAGGTACCACATTTTCTTTTTTTTGAGGAAGATCAGCCCTGAGCTAACATCCGTGCTAATCCTCCTCTTTTTTTGTTGAGGAAGACCGGCCCTGAGATAACATCTATTGCCAATCCTCCTCCTTTTTTTTTCCCCCCAAAGCCCCAGTAGATAGTGGTATGTCATAGTTGCACACCCTTCTAGTTGCTGTATGTGGGATGCAGCCTCAGCATGGCTGGAGAACCGGTGCATGGGTGCACACCCGGGATCCGAACCCAGGCCGCTAGTAGAGGACCACGCGCACTTAACCGCTAAGCCACAGGGTGGCCCCACATTTTCTTGTATAAAAACCTTCCAGAGACAAGCTAAGCATACATAAGCATGCATACGTGTTCGTATGTACATGTGAATATACAGGCATATTTTAAAGAAAATCACACAATACACTGAAAGGCACCCTATATACACTGTTCTGCACCTTCCAAAAGCCTTTTCCTGGAGAAAGGGTACCTAACCATTCTTTTAGTCAAGACAGTCCTGTTATGTTTAGAATCACGTCTGCTGATTACAACAGTAACAAACAGAAAACGCCATAAAATGTATGCAAAAACAACTTCACTCATAAAGCCAACCAATCAGAGATAACATTTATGTGTTATTTCCTTCCTTCTTTGCACAATACAAATAAAGATACAGGTACAGATCAGAAGGTATCCTACAACTTCTTAACAACATAGAGCACTAGATGCTATAATTAAGTAGACTTCAGAAATCTATTTCAACCTGCTCCTACATGGTTGTCCTACCTTGGAAACCTAAACTGACCCAGCTTCCAAAGGAGATAGCTAAGAATCTCTGGACAAAACTTAATAATCGTGTAAAGTTTACATGTCTTTCATACTAAAGCTGTTAGTCTAGCTTCAATACCTTCCAGATGACAGAAAGCAAGTACTTAATAATTAGCTTCCACTCTGTTGAGGATTCCACTTCTTCCATACTCCTACAAACATCTTATTATCACAATCAAAGCACATTTTCCAGTAAAATATCAATCACTACTTAAACCTAATATATAAATCCAGAATCAAATAACAAGAAAGCAAAGCGGCTGGGCCGGCCCCATGGCTTAGCGGTTAAGTG